GAAGGTTTTTTTGCAGACGTTTCGCTGCCAGACTAGGCAACATCGTCAGTACGATTTTAAGGTCCTTTTTCGTAGAGCCTCGTAAGCGACTTCGAGAGTAAAGTGCTTAGTGATCTAGTTCTGCGTTGAATATCAGGCTTCAGTCAACTCACGTGCTTGCTGGCTTGTGGCTCTTCCAAGGGTTTTGATGTGCTCCAGGTCGAACTAGTGGTCTTCGGTACCCATATGCACGGACATCAACTATTTCAAATGCCAAATCAGCTGCGACAAAATCCCATATAAGAGTAAACTTTCCCTGCTTATCAGTCTGATGGGATGCGAAGCGAAGTAGAACGGAACGATTGCACAGTCAGAAAGTGAGTGGGGATCAGAACCACTCAGTCACCGGTAGGAAGTAGAGAGGTTTCAGGCAAACGAATGTTTACCTAGTGAACCCCATTCGCATCGTCTAACCTTATATACTAATCCACAGAACAGCTGCACTCCAGGAATGGAAAATTTCAACTGAAAACAATGCATCGACCAAAAAGAAAAATTAAAGCACTTCTTTGATTGCGACGGATTGTATACAGAAGACCATGACTAACCGAAGGATGACAGATGCACCATACTGACAAAATATCAAGGCCCGAAATAAATAGTATCAAGCCGCCTACAGCAGTGCCCAACACAAAGGCGCCAGTACACTATCAGGCCCGAACAACACGGTCGCTATGCAGAGGCCTAGACTACGCAGGGCTCTCCCAAAGGTCCACCCATCTGCGCAGATAAAAACTGAGTTGTCCTCAGTGAAAACGCTGCCAACGTATCCCACACAGTTCCCAATGAAACTACTGTATCCACCGGCCTCACCTCAAGTCAAAAGTCCGTCTCCTGAGCTGCGATCATGTTAATGCCATATCTACCGAGCAAGCTCAACAACTGTGAGGTGTCCAATGTCTCAAAAGCATCGAACAACCCCGTCTCTGCCCGGAGATAGGTCCACGGCATGGCAACTCATGTGTCAACAAACATACGCCTTCCCTTATAGTCTATACAATTACTACTGCTTTAAGGAACTATAAATATGAAGCTGCAGAGAGCACTCTCACCATTGGCCAGTCTCCTTCTTCCGGGGTCTCTGCATGTGTGTGCGGCGTTTACGCGTTCTGTCTAGCTTCGCAGTTACAAGTTCACGTCTGCCGGCTAGCTCCACAAGTCATCCCGATTCGACATGCCTACGCTACTCTGCATGTGGGAAACAACGAGTGAAAGTTCGTGCGTTCTCATTAGGACAGTCGAAACCCAATTAGGGAAAGATGGCACTCTCCCATCGTTGGAGACAAATCCTGACGTTCGTGCTCTGTGTTCGGTGGTCTAGAAGTACCCGCCGCTCACCGAGCTTCAAGTTGCAGTGATCAAGAAGTCAGTCGTAAACCATTTTGTCAAAAGTATCATCTACAGCTCCAGCAATCTGCATCGGTGGCTGAAGAGGTTACGGCTAACATCTCAATGCCTGCTATATCTACCTGATGGGATCAAGTAAATTCGAAACTCGTCGTGGAGTGGTGTTTTCAGGCGGACAAGACCCAATATCTACCTGAATAGTTCAAGCCAGTAAGAAACCGACAGTGAAGTCTAGTGTTGGAAGCTAGCAAGAACGAAACTCTTTGATGCCACGCAATCTCCAATGATTAAGCTCTAAGACAGGAGGATCATCGACTTTAGCTATAATTGTGTAGGAGTGATCAGACTGAGTTGGTCAGACCCCTAGATCTTGACCTGCGTGACGCTTGGAGGTGTCTACCAGGGAGAAAAGTAGCCAACGCAAACGCTGTTTCCCAAGCCCCCACGAAAGTACCATTTATAGCAGTGTTTAACAAAGCTATCACGTGACCGGATTACTTTAGCTGCCTCCCTATCCACAAAAAACATCTGCGTAAAGTCATGTTCACGTAGTCATATCCACAGTAGCTGTTCGCTAGTTAGTTGAGAGGCAGAGTGGAACACCGAACGAGTTCGTCCACATTTCATTAATGCACTGCAGCCAATATCCACCAGTGAAACTGGATAGGTATCGGCAATTATAACTTGTCAGGCGGTACCATAAGCACCAACAATGACTGAAAGACTCAGTTTCCACTGTTCAGCCCAAAATATGACAAGCTGAAAGGGTTTTACCTAGGATTTGTTATACAGGAGATACGATGGATATTAGGCACAAACTGGAAACTGAGTGTGAGCATCCCCCAGTCTCATCGCTACCACAGACTCAGTCGTCCTACTCCTCTCAATAGGTACCAGCTCCTCTGTAAGACGAGTGCACAACACTGTATCCACTCAAAGCGAAAGAAACCTTCTGTAGGCATTGTGTGCACTCGTATGATTCTCATCAATGGACAGCATACTGTGCAACTGCTAACCAAACCGGGTATCGTGGGACAGAGTCCTTAAGTGCCCACTTAATCAAATGTTCGAAGAATAAATCAGTAATGAACAAAGTCAATCGAAACTTATCGCTGCACACAGAATCAAATTATCTGGATCTCCATCCGCGTCAGACTAAACAGTTCACATCATAAGTCAGGCAGATGCATATTCTGCTGCCTCCAAGACGTATAAATAAAAAGTTAATCTTCATTTATTCAATTATTTTGAAGTGATGGCATCCGAAGTACGCAGCCAATATGCATCTTGGCATGGTGAATCGCGTTCAACGAGGGAGAAGCGACTACATCGCGTGATCGCCGCCCCGAAAGTCAAAAGAAGAACAGGGCGGTATGCCGTAGCATAACCAAGGATGAAATAAAACTGCATTCGCACCTCGAAGCAGCCTAATCAAGCGTAAGGAACAGCATCCGTACAGTGCAAAGTAAGCGGATGAAACCTAACGGAATACGGTCGCGGTCATTTTGAGTGAAGGAAATGTACAGGGCCCGCGTAAAAAAAATAAAAAGCACATCGCTGATCCTTACCATCAATGTGGGGCATCGATTTTGAAAGATGGTGGAGAGAATGGGAACATCTCAAGAGTTAATGTAGTGCGAAAATTCGCTAGTTTGTCGAATAGGGCTATCACACTAGCTAACCGCGAGAGTGTATCAGTACACGCCATTGCACACAAGTGGAGGCCTCTTCAGACACGTGGAATTTGTGGTTAACGACCACTTGCAGGGTGAATATGAACACGCAGTAAAAACAGTGAAAGTGCCGAGTTGCTATGCGCGGACATTCGTTCGTTCGTGATCACAGATCAGATAAGGAGATGGGAAAGTAGCGCGAGATCTGGGGATTCTCTTCGGTTGGTAAGACAACTCGTGGGGCTGAAGCAGGCAAGTTTACGTACGGATGAACACTTTTTGCACAGTTAGACCTAATCATTCCGCAGGCAATGAAAGAGACGAGGTTTGGCAGAGCAAATACTGTAGTATAGAAGTGTGGCACTTGTTCGGAGCAATGTTCATTAATGCGCGCAAGCAGACTATGAAAACTCCCAAAGAACAACTGTATGAATAATGAAAATGTGCCTATGAGCTGGACGTAACAATTATGCGGCACAGATGATTTTCGGATAAAAGAGCAAACCCTACGAGGTACGTAGGGTTCCAGAAAATGTCAAAGGTGTAGTTCTAACGGAGTTGTGTGTCCAGAAGTTAACTAGAGGGTTGGGATTACCCTGGTCCAAACGCCTGATGACCTCTGAGCTGCGAGGTCAATTGTCGTAACCTAACGGACAACCAGTTTCAGTATTTAACTCGCTCCTGGACTAATAATCGGTAATGTATGTCTACCCATTTTGTTTTTATATATGTAACTGTAGAAGCCTGATGAGGAATTATAGCAAACACATGTTCGTTTACACTGACTTCTAACGGAAAGTTTGCAACTGATGAACCGATTGAAAAATTAATTTAATCCAATGAATAGAAAGGCTGAACAACGGTTAGAACGCTCAGACAAATTTCATGTAGGTATAAGAAGTCAAGATGTAACTGAAAATCCCGCTAGCAGTTTCATTGTGACGTGGACGTTGCAGGTTCGCGCGAGTTGGATAGGAAAGTCCACTCAACAAAACATACAACGAGATTAACGTGACTTCAATAAGATGAACTGTCACGGAGAGCGAGTAGTTTACTGGAGTGATTCCCACTCCTCCTTATCACCACTACTCAAAAAGGTAACAATAAACGTGATGGTGGATCGCCAAAGAATGAAGTATATGAAGAGGTTTTCAAGTTGAAATACCTCTGTACCCGATTTACAATGGGATATTTGTGAAAAAAGAATGTGTGATTCGGGAAATGAACGAAAATATACGCAGCTCTGACAAACAGTCGACTCCCAAAAGGAACGTAAGGTCATTCACACATGAAATAAAACGCGGTCGTTGTCCAAAAATGATCCCATAAATGAGGTGGGTAATGAACGTCATGCGGATTCATCGTTAATCGATTTCAGAATCGGTGCAGCAACACTTAACGGAAAATACAACTTTGATGTCGCGTGAGCTGTGTGGCTTCTTAGGAGGCGCCAACAAACACTCGTTGCGCTGGAATTTGTCAAAGGGTTTCAACAGCTACACACTCGATTGCAGTAATTGATGTTTTCCAAACACTTGTGTACTCTCAAGATGATAATTGGAGCCAAGAAATCAAAAAGGCACAATGCAATGCGCAGGAGGAAAATCAAAAGCGTAAGCCTAAGAGACAAGGGGAACGCATGATTAATCGCAGGAAGGCAGCTAACGAGCAACTCCCGGAGGAACCAATCAAAGAAACTAGTTCTAAGCGAAACATTGAGTTGCAATTTGCATCAAATAACTTGTGGGCGAAATCCCATTAGAGATTCCGGATGACCATACCGGAAAGTTTACTACACAAATGATGGTTTGCGAATTCAATGCTTGAAAGTATTTATACCAAGGATTTTGTGGGGAGCAGTAACGCAGAAGACACGTGTCCGTGCGACCAAATATTCCAAGTACTGCGAGCAATATCTTGGTGACTGGAGACAAGGCAAGCTGGTGACTGATTCATTTATATTTCTGGTATAACAGATGTGATAGTCAGGGCTCGTGCGCACACAAAGTCGATGTGGCGCAGGAAGCGAGTGAACCAAACTGAATCTGTCAATAAGTTGAGTCAACGGAATATCAGTTCAAATATGACGTGATATTTGGATAGGTTAAGGAAAACGATCACAAATAGGTAAATGTACGGAAATAAGAAGAGAATGAGTTCAGGTTGGAACTGACGGAAACAACATCCGATATGTTTGCTGAGAGATTTCAATGATAGCACACTTCCAAAATCTCAGTGCCGTGGGTAATCTACTAGATAAAGTATCTGAAAGTTCCAAAAAGAAAAAAATTTACGTATGTAGAGAAGTAGAACATGGTCCATCAGATGATAGGAATGCTTCTCACGACGACAAACAGGTACGTCACGGACAGAGAAGGAATGCTCTGAGAGAAAAAGACAATAAAAATAGCAAGCAAAACACTGCAAGAGTTCGGAGCCTGCGGTGGATTTCAACAACAAGGACAGCGCAAGAAGAAGAGAAAAATAACAACACGAATAAATAAGTCAAATAGGGAGAGCAATCATGCTCCACCGGAATATAGTGAGTCATGCTCCAAGAGCCAAAAGGATAAATATGTGAAGCATAGTGAATCCAAAAAATCGATGGAGCATCAATTGATGGTCCCTTCTTCCTCTAGCTTGGCCAAGAAAGTGGGAACACGAAATTCGGATTCAGTCTGAAAGATCGCAAGTAAAACATTGATAATTAGTGACGGATAAAAGTATATACATAACAGGTCCCATAAGTTGGTTCCGGAAATACAAAAACAAAAAATATATGGAGGCGAACAAATTAAGATAGGACAGGATAATGGCATCCTACGGGGGAACATTAATAAGTTCCTGCCTTTGACCATAAAAAGAGTTGTGAATTGACACATCTATCCAACATATACACCCATAAGATTGATGCACGTGGTACAGCGTATTTGTAGTTTTCTAGATAGATCAGGCAAAAGTCATCTGGTTGTACCTTAAACTAGCTGTCGGCAGTATGTTTGACTTATGAAATATCATCAAGACGTCGCCCCTTCAGAGGTTCCTTCAAGTACGGGAGGAAATAATAAACTGGCGGGACCAGGTCAGGTGGACGAAATCGAAACCCAGAGTGTTCAATTGGGCAGCCAAAATACAGGACGTGTGCACAAGTGCACTGTGCAGTAAAAAAGGATGCCATTGGTCAGCTTTCCACGCCGTTTCCCATTAAGCACTTCCCTCAGCTGGTCCAGGAAGCTAGCATAACACTGTCAGGAGAGACTGGAGCCCTGAGGAAGGTAGACCATCAACAGAACACCAATCAAGAAAAAAGGATGCCATGATTTTGGGGGCTGGAGTTTGGATGTGGAACTTCATCGGCCGCGGGACCTGGTTTGGCGTCATTGCTTTCACTGCCCCTTGGTTTCAAAGTCAGAGATATGAAGCTAGGTTCTGTCTTCAGTTTCTAACCTACACAAAAAGTCCTGTGCAGCTTCAACATGGCTTTAAATGTTTTCGGATGATTAAACTCGTTTCCGGTCAATGAGTAGACGTTTACGCACCTAATTGTGCTGAAAGTTTACGCATATCCAGAATAGTAGAGATAACAAAACCAACACACTGTTGTGAGATGTCCAGTATCTGGGCAATCTTTCTAGTGGATAATTGCCGATCATTCATGATCAGCTCATGGACGGCATCGCAGGTTTTGGGGTCAATTGAGGTTTGAAAACGCCTACTGCGGGGTTCATCTTGGATGTTGAAATGACCAGTCTTGTAACGAGATATCCAGTTTTGACAGTGTTACAAGAAAGACACCTTGTCCATTTTGAATCTCGTTCGCAGACCTTTATGGATACATGATGGCCGAGAATCAAGCCACTTGGAACTTTTTCTGCCTCTGAAATCACAGCATCTACCTAATAAAATTAATTAGTTAGATTCACAGACAGTCAGATAATAAGGTCTCATATGCCCCTACACATTTTTTCTCGTTTTATCTGGAAGGGAGAAAAACCATGAACTTAGCAACATCCCCTCGTGGAACCAAGGTTGTGGAAATAGGACAACAACATGTAAAACACCCGAGACGCCGAGTAAAAAACAATCGGGTGAGTCATCAGCCTGCATTGACATGGATTATAACTCCAAATAAGCCAAGTCACCGGAATAAATTCAAATAACACTCGATCATCGACTAAAGTGCAATGAGCTGAGTTCAAAGTCCAAATACCTTTTGAACATGGTCAAGGTGGAGCCACAAACAGCCGAGTATGGAAGATCGTTCCACAGTTGAAAGACTCAAGGGGACAAGTAATGTCGTTGATAATCTAGACGACTGTGCTATTAGCGTTATTTTAGCGTTTGGACTCTGCTTCAAAAGGTGGGGTCATACATGATCTAGTATTTATTGTCATCATGATGTAGTTACGTGGCCGCCAGCAGCGTCCACGAACCAATCCAAGTTTCGCCAACCGTTGCTAGTACGCAAGGTATAGGCCCTTTACATTCTTAGCTGCTCGATGCTGTGTGGTGTTGAGCGCTGCGAGGTCACGCTTTAGCTAAGGTTGTCAAGCCTGAATGACATTATAGAGGTGGGTATGCACGAAGGCATTGAGTATAAGATTGATAAATCCAAAATACCGATTACCATTTGTAGAAGACTAACCACTTTGAAGTGGATTAAGAATATAAAGAGTAGTTAAGGTCGTGTCCGGTCAGTAAAAGATGGTCGCGCTCCTGAGAGGTGGTCTACCAGTCGTACACCACAAGCGAATGCGAACAACTCGATACTTGACCGTGTAAAAAAGCAGCGCTTTCCGTATCGAACAATGGATGGAATAGAGTCAGACGCGATGGAAGCAGAAACGTATTTCTGAGAGTCCAAAACTGTAAATCCAAAGCGTTCGGCGAATATAAAAGGACTTGATGATAGCGGATACCTGACTAAGATTAGCAAACGGGTAGTCGTCGAGTCATGGTAATGAGACTATATCCGATAATGTGAACATTCCAATAGATCGGCATTTAAAAAACAACAATCTGGTGCACCCAAACAGGTAGGCGAAAATAATGGCGCCACTCGAATAGACGAGAGCGGTTTTTCACCTACCTTGGTGACTAGGTCGACCAATTCAATCAAATGCTTGATACCAATGCAGAAGCTGAAAGAAAAAAAACAAGAATGTGAAATTATTTTGCAGAAGGCATTGATTTCGCAGAAATTAGGTCGGCAAATTCAACCACAAAGTGATTTCAGGCTACGCGTAAAAATAGTGTACGTCAGAGTCCCGAGAAATTCGATGACCTGAACTAGTTGATCATTTTGGTAGCAAGGGCCGAAACTCGAGCTGCGGAAATGATGAGAGCATCGGATGAACATGATCAAAGGTGGATAGGCGACAATATGGATGGCTGAAGTGCATGAGTGCGCAAAAGGAACGGAGCCGAGGTCACAATAGAGGATGCGAGTCGCAACCCAACCACACAGCGCGCTCTATAAATTCAACTTGAGGAACGGAGTAGTTTGGAGAACCGTCACAGATGTGTATGACAAAAGAAACCGAGCTGGTAAAACAAGTCCCGGTTTAGTGAATGCAACTAAGAGGACAGATAATCGGAAAATTGACTCGAATGAAACTGGGATAGTCAGGGTTTGTAAATTGGTGGACTGCACAATCCGATTGGGGGAAAAATACACGGTAAAAAAGGGCATGAAAAGTAGAAACTAAGCCACAGTGCACAAATTAGAGATGAATGGCGATGGGATTGCTGAACCCATGGGACCAGTTTGTTATACGGGCGAACTGATGTGATTAATCGGGGGAATGCAAAAGCGGCCAAAAGAGAGAAATGTTAAAATTCGAAATCGATCGGCTACTTATGAGTAGTTAAGTTGCATATAGATACTTGAAACGTTAGTTTGTGGCTTAACGAGCAACCTCTACAGGCATGCAGGATAGATCGCTGCAAACTTGATCGGTCGTGATAACAGAGAAATAAGACGGCTCTCAAAAAGGTGCAAACCACTTCATCGTGAGCGTCGGGACTATGCGGCTGTCAGTCTATGTGGATCAGCTCTATGTGGATCAAATCCACCGAGGAGGCACGGAGAACGCTATGATAAAACCAATGTTGGAAACAAAGTGGATACTTACTGCTTATTGTTGATAGATCGCTCGATTCGTTGCCGATCAGCCACGGCAAATCGATCATCCTCCTCCAGGGCTGCCATAATGTGAGCTGGTTTGGACATTGCGCTCACGTGAATGTGCCAAGAAAACGCTTGTGTCAAGTTTTGGTCGGCCAATTCAGCACGACAACTCGTTGTCGCTAACACAAGCATCCGCCGACCCTGTAGAAGAAAACGAAAAAACCGTAAATCGTCTTCCAGGAATACTGGTCATTGCTCGAAATGCAACATATGTTGAGCGTTCGGAGATTGTGGCAGTGACCGGAGCGTCGGTGGCACAGAAGCTAAAGCGACGACGCGGTAACTATAGGTTCTGGATCAATTCCATCACAAGACGGCAATAATACAGTTGGTTTTCCAAGCCAAGAAAGTTGTCAGCGAAACGCGAGTCAGAACAAAAAACAATAGCCCATCAACCTCAGGATGCGAAAAATAACCAAAGCGAAGCATGGCACTATCGTTTAATCGATAGACAACCGCAGTGAAGGATCTGGATCATACAAGCAAAACTTAGTCAAGATATTCGCATTTCCATTAACGAAAAGGATGAACATGTGGCCACGGATTTGTTACATATCCTATATGATCAAATCGACCTCATCCGGTTTGCATTCCAAGACACTGGACCTTGTAGCATGTTCTCGAGAAAGATAGCTTCCGTTTCGTGGTCTATAACAAAGTCCTGATTGCATTTTATGTTAAAAAAGTAATGGCAGTCAACACAGTTAGGCAACGGAAAATTACGGAAACACGTTTCCAAGGAATCGTTCTATATATGGATCTAACATGTAACAGCTGTAAATATGGACAAGAGTCATGCATAGCTGCCAAGGTACTTGGATTTCCGGACGACTTTTCCAGCTGGTCCCCACCAAGGGTCAGCGAAAGAATGGACCCATGCCAATGTTGGAGGAGGACTTTGGATTTCGAGGGTGCAAAGCATAGCCCTAGTCGAATGACTGCCAGTGCAACTTGGCAAGCTTGTGAGCTGTCACTGATTATGACAATCTCGTCGGCATACCCCAACTCAAGAAGTCGCTCATCAGCAAGCAGCTAAACACCTCGAAACTCGTGTCTAATGTATGCCATTTATATGACTTCATCGATGGCGAAGTTAAAAAGGAAAGACGACAGCAGGCAACCTCGTCTCACACTGATGGAGATATGGAAGGGCGGCGACAGATTGTCATAAGCCCTCATTCTGCTCGAACTATGCGCGTACATCGCTCTGATAATGTTTATGTAATTCTCGGGCACACTTTTCCTGAGCAGGCAGTTCCGAAGGGCACCCCGATCAACGGAATCGAAAGAACATTTGATGTCGAGAAACATGACTACGGTGGGTCCCCAAGAAAAATGGCGGTGCTCCCACAATTGCCGTAAAGTAAAGAGGTGGTCAATTCAGCTACAATTTCGACGAGACCCAGCTTGCTCCTAGCGAATCTGGTTTATGCGAGTGCCAGCCAGTCGACGGACGACGACAAGCAAGGCAGTTAAGATCAGATTGATCCCTCTGTGAATGCCGCAATTCGAACGCGAGTTTTCCTTGAAAATCGGGACTATAATGGAGCGGATCGTCTGCTGCGAGAGACTCCTGTTCCCACAGCTTCACAAGTAAAATTTGGAACTCATTTACAAGAGCAATTCCTCCGGATCTGAAGTGAGCTGGAAGTAGTCGTTATGCTCCTGTGGCCCCGTTCGACTTCGGCGCGTAAAGGCGGATAAAAAGGGACTAGGGAGTAGGGTGATCAATGGCCGATAAGGAAGATGGCAACTCTGGTTGATTAAACTGCTTTCGGTGTTCGGCCCAACGCTTCAAACATTTCTACAAGCTGCGAATTGGTTATTGACTCCCGTCCCCTACAGTTGCGCCAATACCAGGCTTCTTGCTGCCCGTTTCACGTATCACACGGAATAACTTCGGAGAACAGCAGCTCTCTCCATTTCAGATGAACGATGAGACCACCAGGCTTTGCAGTTTCTCTTCAAGCTAGCAAGCAGTTTCGCTCTGAGGTTTCCACACTTCTAGTTGTGTTCGCTTACAGCAGGAATGTGTCGGCGGGCGTCCAAAGATTCTAGACTGGGTACAGATCCTATGTCCAGATTGGCGATTTGATTTGTCACAAGAAAGGACGCCTGCTGTTAATAGCATCTGGTCAGTGATCTTCAACTCTGTTCAGTGGGTGGGGTGGGGCCTTTAAATCGGCCGTGCCATTGTCACTGAACATCGTATTTACAATATCGCTATGGATACATTAGTTTTCTCAGGATATGTCAACATGGATATTAGTAAAGCTCTTTCCAAGATCACTGCTGATGTCCTTCGCATAATCTTTGAGAAAAAGTCAAGATACGGCGCACCTAAACATGCACTGTCCCGAGTAAAAATCTAGCTTGCAACGCTGGCATTAAATTATTTTGTCCGGAACTGTTTCATTGTTGCTCTTTTACACTGATGGTTTATTCAAGTGGCAGTTCTACCCAGTGTCCGTTTATTCGATCCTACAAATTAAGTTCAGATTATGTAATTTTAGCTCATCCGTTGTCGATATTGTAAAGTGCTGATAATGTACCCATCTGGATACATAAAGCTTAGTTTGACTTGACTCGACGTCAGCGTACTCTGATTCAGAACATCTAGCTTCGACAGTTGGCAAGTGTCTATACGCTCACAGTGCCATTGCGGACGTCCGCCATAAAGTACCCGCAGGTCGGCACATACGAATGCGTGGTCGGAGTCCACGCTTAAGCTCCAAAGTAAGCAGCAGTTTTGGCCGCAACCTCTACAACGGTAACCGATCGCGATTTGCATCTATGGCTAGTCCGAGGCTGATGGGCGCCATGTCACTCATGTATGAGTGCTGTCTGAAGTTAGTGCTCGAGAGAAAAGGACGAGCATTTTCACACAGGTGTAGCAACCGCTCACCGTTATCATCCCGAGAACCTACAATGTGTTGGCCGCCCATATGCAGCTCATCAGTGGACAATGAAAGCAGACAATATTCCAACTTGGGCGTTCAGATCGTTAGCAAACCCAACAATATCCTTGCTGTTTCCGAAAAGGAGCTTAACCAATTGGTGATAGAATCCATCTTTCAACGAATCAGCGATACGGTTTGTGGGGCACTGTCTGTACCCGCGTGACTTTGAGCCTTGGAACGAGGCAGTCAGTCTGACGGCGCAAATCCGGCTGTTGACTGGGATCCAAACGATCAGGTCAGCTTCAGCCCGGCATGTGAAGCTGTATCATATCCGGATAAGCGCAATGAGAAAGTGCCCCCAGTGAGTCATGTGGTGGATCGCAGGGAAAGCACTGAGCTCTAATATTGCAAGATAACGAGAATGAGCTTGCATAGCTGAGACTGTAATTGTCATATCTTTAGGAGAACTACTGTTCGCACCCACTACAGCCTTGATTCCAAGTGACCAAAATCACAGATGGTTGAAAACAATCGAAAGTTGACTTGTACAGAGAATGTAAATATAGTGAAAACGAAGCGATATAACACTTACTCTCCCAGCCGTAATAATACATCCACAGTCTGTCAAGGGAAGTCATGAAATGTAGAACTGGATAGGAGCTTTAGCTTTCAAAACTAATTCATGTGGAGGAGCTAGAGACGACTGGAACCGGCAGCAATGGGCACTAAGAATCAGGCTTCGGGTGCTTGACCACACTTTGCGAGAAGCCTGAGAATGTGGATACTCGAAGCGCCTATTGCACTAGCTCAGTAGAGAAAACATAAACTTCTTCCGCGGTTAATTTTAAATGATGGCAGCTGTTAGAAGGGAAAACTGATTAGCAGTTCCACAGATGAATCGAATTGTAGGTGGATGACGCGTTTTTGAGAATAAGATCTGCGTCAGCAGGAAACGTGTGTAGATGAGAGTATGAAATGCACAAGGTCACTGACGAGGAAGATGGATGGTCTAACTAGCCACAGGACTAGGGTTTGGAAGGTGTACGACGGTGGCTCAAGTCGAGTACGACGTCACCATCGCTTAGCGAATATCGGAGACAAAACTCGGAGGAGATCAACACGTTCACGAGTAACTATGAGTGCCAGTATGAACAGCCGCCGTCAAAGTGGAGCAAAGTGCGCGGGATACAACACCCAACTAAAGAAGTGCCGAGAAAGTTGAGGGTAGAGTGGTTCAATTTGAAATCCTCCTCATAAAGCAGGCAAAAAACTCCACATCTAAACAGACATATCGATTACTGGTTTCGGGCAAAACCGGTATTCCCATATTCAAAGATTTGATAAATTGCCGATAGCGCCAACGGATTGGAGAAGAGTGTACAATCGTTGGTAGCGTCCGGTGTCGGATTTGCCTGTCACTGTGGCCAGCCACAGGACACCTGCGCCTACAGATGGACCATGGGTGGCTTGCACTAGACCATTCACAGCTCCATCTACACACTTTATATCCAGTGGAAACTCGAAGGAATAAGACCAGGAGGCATGTGGATGGAAGCCACGTTTCATCAACGGAGCCGGCCCCCACTCCTTCAACATGCTCGACAACAGCATTCCTGTCTGTCTAAATTGGGAATTATGCATATCAGACGTACACAAAGCGGTGGTTGGGCCGTATTCCGTCCCACACCGGATGGAACCAGTCTTTGAGCCTAGCAGGGGTACGGTGATCGTGTAGCCCGTCCTTCAAGCAAATATTAGAAGTCTCCTGAAGCCAATGATCGGGGTGGAGCGTGTTAGACAAGTAAGCACCCTGTCAACATTCACATCAAGCGAGGCAACGCCAGGGATATCGAACAACCGAGACATAATTTAAAGAAAAATAAACATGCGAAATTGTCAAGGAATAAGCGGCAAAATAACAAAAAATGGGGAACTCAAATAGGGTGGAATGCTTGTTTTCAGGTTTTGAATACAAATCGGTTTTGGTAGGGTTTTATTGTGGCCACAATAAAACCCTCCCAAAATCGATTCGTATTCAAAGCCTTCTGAAATCATGAAATCCCAGTCGGTTCCAAGCATACTCCGAGATATGGAACACTTATTATTCAGATTAAGGAGATCTAGTTTAAGTGAAAGTATAAGTCTGTGTATCCTGGCTGCGGTGTGCGTAATAGCAGCCTCAGCATGAGATAAAGGAGTTATTACCATTTTCAGTTCCCATTATTTACAGATACCACCGGACACTTAATAGCTGATGAGGGATGAGTGTACTATACTACAATTATAACAACACAACTGTTCGAACCTAAAAGAACAACAACTATTAAATGCTGTAAGCTTTAAGAGGCTCTTTGGTAATCATGACCTTTAACTATGAGGCATTGTTCAACCAGGCCGCATCGCCGATGCCGCCTGTTGGTGATTTGTGACACGTTCCCAGTAAGTCGCAACCAATCACTTTGTTGAGCTGGATCTTTTGATGTGATCAAGTCACTTTGACTATTCGCTCGCATGTCGATCACCAACGTGAGTACGTAATTCCTGACGGTATTGAACGTGGTTGTGTGGATACTTACGGTGGTCAGATGACGTGACAACAGAGAGGAAAAATGAGTATGGGACACAAGCGGAACGATAAGTGTTGCCTTCTTGGACAAACGATCACGGAATCAACCAGATCAGAAGTGGGAAAACTGAAGGACTGGCGTCATTCACAACTTGATGACGTGTTCCGATCATTTACCTACATCAAATGTTAGTGTTTCAGACCAAAGATTGGAATAAATTGCGCCACACGCTTGCTCTGTCATTCACGATTATCGCTCTAGTGCACATGACCATAATTTGTGGACCGAAACAAAAGCGAAGACCCTAAAGATGGCCGGGAGTATTGTCATACAATGTAAAAGGATTTGGAGAGTGGTTTCACTGGAAAAGCGAGAATACATCCGATAAATTTTGCAAACGACATGATTATAGGAAGCAAAGTTAAAAGCAAACAGCAGATAACAAGCAATGGTGGAACAGCTAGGTGGACGCGTAATTGGGATGAGGGGCGTTAAAACACACGGGTTAACGAGTGGTGGAGGTTGCGAAACATAACGTCCAACTCACCGCCTTCAAAGGTTGTGATACAAGATCTCGAATGGCTTGCACGATGAAGTTGGAGAAACGAGGCCCTACGGGATTGTATTCAATAAGACCTTCAATGTTGTCCACGATCACAACACTAAGGGGGGACTTCGCGCCATCGTCAAATATCTGTTCACATGCAATGGAAAAGCATGGGTCCGTTTTAAATCAATTATCGGAAAGATAAATCACGTGACAATCGAAAACGCTACAATGGAATACCGAAGATCGAGTATGTAGGTAATGAAAACTCAAGTGTGCTCAGAGAACAAAGAGCATAATGCCCATTGGTATTTATAGGCTGTAGTAGAACGAATATCCAGGATGAGAGAAAATGCCAGAAAATAGGTAAAAAGAAGAGACCGAGTGCTAAAGCGTAATGCACCATACAGGTATTCAGCGAAAAGGAACCAACACACGGCGAGTATCGTAAGGTCACAACAGGTTAGGTAAAGAATGAGGGAATGGGAGATGGCTCCCCTTTGGTTTTTACCGCGTCGAAATCGAGATACAGGTTAGATAACCGCAATGAACATACAACCAATGAGGGAATTGGCACTACATTCTCAAGTGAACTGTGTGGATCCAAAAGTAGAAGGCAGGATGGATCAACAACGCTAAATTTAGCATCCAATTATTGTTTCTCGCCATCAGCCATGTCATCCCAAATGAGGCAAACAACCCGATGGTGTCCTCGATAGAGTATGGTAGGGCCTATGCGACAAGTGTCGGAGTAAGCGCAATTCGTTCAATGTGGTTGTCCATCCGTCGAAGCAAAACAAATACAAATAACCTAAAATTCAATAACGAAATTCACCGTTGGGTACATGGTGGTGTGATCCGATTCAACTAATGCCCTATATGTAACAAATCACCAGGAATTGAAAGGAATTGGATGCAGATAGTCACGTTTCACTGCTCCAGATGAGTGGAAAAGAACGATAACAAGCGTAGTCCTGCATACACACATATGCAGACTCAGGAAAAGTATATTTTCGAGATAAAAGGCAGTGTTAATCACTGAAATAGCTGAACAGTATGGAACAGGCACTCTATCTGTTATCGTAATGAAAAATTGTCAAAAGCAGTTGTGATTCTGTGGCAAATCTCCAAGGAGAACGGAGAGATCAAACTAAATCCAGTCAAGGAAAACGTTCTGTCCTGTTGGACTCGACAGAAAACTGACGCTTTTGTCTACTAATGAGACGGAGGATTTTGAGGAAATTCTACTGGTTCGTCCAAATGGTGAACACGCATAGCTGTTTTGTAGCGGTAATCGTGACCTCGGGAAGCCGTCCACTGTCCGCTGCAATAGTAGTAGGCTGCATGGCAGTGGATGATAATTTGCGCTATATCTCCGTTAGTTTGCAATTGATGACGGTCTGGCACCGTCCCCCACGGTTCATTAGCATCAGCTACCGGTTAGTTGGCGCAAACTGCTAGCGGTTCCGTGTAGGACGTCCAGAGAATGCTCACCACCGAAGTACCCGAATGGGGCGAAACGACCGTTTAGTGCCAATACGGAATGGGGGTTAGACTAGCTGGTGTGTGATCTACTCGGGCTAATTAGGTCCTACTCCCAAGGCCGTCCATCCGGATCCGCTCTCATGTGCAGAAATGGAAGGTGAGATCAGACGGTTGAAATTGAGCAAGGCCGCAGCAGCAGATAGACATCACTCAGCACTCCTTCAATTTGGACGATTACATAACTTACTAATTAATCTATGAGAGCACTTACCAGATCTTTACTTTATGTCAATTGTTGTAGTACTGCCTTTTTTATTAGCGACCCACCGTAGCCATGTTCCTAGACATCAGGGAGCCCTTTGATTAGACTGATCGATGTGCCCTTAAGGACTGTCTACTGAAAAAAGGTGTGCCAGATAAACATACAAATGTCATAAGAGCAGTGTACGCGCATAGTTCGGGCACAGTGAAGGCTTAAGGCAAACTGCTGCCGCCTTTCCATATCTGCAGCGGTGTGAAACAAGGTTGCCCGCTGTCACCTTACTTCTTTAACTTCACCACTGATCGTCATGGAAACGGCGTTCGCAGGGTGACTTAGAAGGTGGGAAGCTTCTCCCAGGTGACCGACTTCCTGACTGGAAGTATGACGAGGACATCGTGCTCATCTGCGACAGATCCGGAACCTGCCAAGTTGCATTGGATAAATTAGCTCTAGTTGTCAGTCGTTTCGGCCTATGCTTTGCACTCTCGAAATGCAAAGTCCTCCAAGATTGGCAGTGACTCACTCCTGCACCAACCCTTCACAGTAATCAGCTAGAGGTCGTTGCGAAATTCAAGCACCTTGGCAACTACATTAGTACCGTTGGGAACGAAGATGAGATCTCTAACCGTATAGTAAAAGCTTGAAGCGCTTCTGCTAATCCACGCCACCTGTCGCACTGGCGTGATATCACTCGCGCTTTGGAGGGCAGAAGGATATATCCTCGTAGATCCTCCTCACCAAGGAATCTGGCATGAACTCCCCATACTGAAGCGTCATAAAGCATCAGGTATCAGTATTACGCCGGTACGCAGTATAGACGCTTCGCTGCCGCGCAACCACTACCGCACACTAAGGATATTGCGAAGGACGCCCTGCCCCTACGAAAGCTCGAAACCGCGACGCAAGGCTAGGAGACAAGCCCGTTACCTCTGGGCTACGGGCCCGCGAAGCGTCATAAAGTACTTGGCCCGGATGGTTCATCTTCCGCTCTCTTTAAAGATGTTGGCGATTCGCTAGTACAAGAACTTACTGCTTTGTTCGCAGAAGTCTGGTTAAAAATGGAGGTTCCATCGTCTTTGGGTGAGTCATCAGTCGTCCTCATTTTAAAAAAAACCTGTACACAATGGGCTCCAACTACAGGTGTCTCAGCTTGATTCCAGTCGTTTGCAAGATGCCGGTGTCCATCATACTTAGAAAGTTATCCCCAATGAGCGAATCACTACAACGTGAAGAACATACCGGGTTCCGCCCTGCTCGTGGCTGCATGGATCAAATTGTTACACGTTATTAGATCCTCGAGCTCCGCCAGCTGTATCAAAAACCAAGGATTGTCGTGTTCCTGAATATTCGTGCTGTCTTCGATTCTGTCGAGGGCACTGCATTGTGGCACTGTCTGTTGTGGAATGGCGTTCCCGGGCAGTTCGTTTTCGTACTGCGTGCTATGTACAGTGACATCGGGTAGACTTATGGCTTATGGCAAGTATTCGCCTTCCTTTGTTATCACCAATGGAATTCGAGAAGGATGCTCTATCTCCCCATTCCTGTTCAATGTTGCTACTGAGGATGTTCTCAAAATTGCTTTGAAGGATTCGTTGAACGCTGACGTTGGGTGCCCCCCTCAGGTAGTCGAGTAATTAATACTGACTTCGCTGATGATATCGTCTTGCTGAGTGACGATCTACAGGCCGTTCAACTTGTACTTAACCACCTGACGATTGAAGCGTCGAAGTGTGAATTGCACTTTTCCCCATCCAAGTGCAAAGCTTTTTCAAGACTGGCAGATTCCTGTACCTGCACGCACTCTTGATGGTGAGAAACTAGAAGTTTTGGATAATTTTGTTTATCTGGGAAACTGCATCACTATAGGTAGAGTTGCTGGAGATTTCGATGCGTATCCCAAGAGCGCGTCTCGCTTTCTCTAAGTTGAGGCACTTGTACCGTCGTCATGACATCAGTCAATCCATCAAAAGGCGCGTTAATTGTGCGAGTGTTCGCGCTGTACTGCAGTACGGTTGAGAGAATTGGTCTGTTCGCACCGTTGACCTACTCCATCTCCCTGTTTTTGAACACCGTGGCTTGCGGTACATTTCACGTGTGTGAAGGCTGCATCCCGTAACCCATGTGGAAGTTAAACGTGTCTTGGATGGAGGCAGCAACTCGCTCGAGGAGCTGCGTCAGCTGCGGTGGCCTGGACACGTACTGCGCACGCCCGTTCATCATCGTTTGTGTAGGGTGTTGTTCGTGGCTGCTGGACCGGGCTGTATGAGACGGCGCGGTGGACAACCTACAACATTAAGAAGCGGCATGAAATAGCTGACGAAAGTGTTAGCCCCAGTTAGTTGTTCTCGACCCGCTGACTGGGGTTTCAGATATACAGAAGCGCGCTGGTTGGAGACCTAGAAAATCATGACTCAAGTCCGACGTATGTCCCTGTGTGTTTCGGTAATTTTGCTTCCCTTCCCTAATAAAACGAACCATTAAAAAACTCAAAAACATTGTCTCTTTTTCCTATCTTGTTTTCTTATTCCACCATGGATGGTTAATCAGTTATATCGTGCTCAGCTGACTTTGCTTCCACTACTCACACACCTTAACATGTCACTTGTTCAGGTGTTGCCAATAACTTTTATCAGTTATCAGCTGATTCTTATCTCTATGATTCCAGGCACGAGCGTTTCGTCGACGCCCACAGAGCTCGCTCAGTGGCCCTCCTTCGGCCCCGGTCCACCTTCCATCTGGCACGCTTCAATGTACACTTAAGCAGATCGGGCAGCAGGCTGGATTTGCGCGCACCTTGGAATCCCTCGCCATCAATTACTGCCGTCTTTCCGAAATCCGACTGCAAGATTCAAGTACTGGGATTCGGTCGTAATCTCCCACCAACCACAGAGCCATATTTCATCTACGTCTATCGGGCGACAGAGGCAGCTGCGGCAGACTTGGCTGGCTTTGGTGTAGCGCCAAGCATCAAAGCCGGGGCCGTACTGCTGGACTAGTTTCCGATTAATAGCCGAATGTGTGCAGTTCGGCTTCGCGGATCATGCAGGATTAGCAGATGTCGTGATGACAGACGCAACTTGATTTTGATACCAGCTTACGGTCCAAATGACTGCAGTTGCGACTCGGTCAAGGACGACTTCTACCGTGTACTTCACCAGCTCTTGAGCAGAGCTTGCAAAACCGGTATTGTGGTTCATGGTTAGGATTTAAACGAAAGGGTTGATCATCTATTAGCATGCGAAATTCACCTCGGTGGTGACCATGCGCTCGACGACAGCCGCTCAGATAATGGAGAGACTTTAACGACCGAAGACAAGCGTTTGTTTCTCTTGAGCACCAGCCTCCGGCATGGTAGGAGGCGTTCTGCTACTGGGCGACCCCCTTCCGCATCTCAATTATG